TTGTCTCATAAAAATCCGTGTATCTGCAAAGGATGATACAGTACTATAGGTTGTGTCCTCGTCTATGTCTGATAATGAGGATGAGAAAAGGTACTAGAGTAACCACAGTACCCTGGGGGACTGAGCTCTTCACGGTTAATGGACAGGATTTGATTTTGTTGACTATTACACATTGGGTTCTGTTAGTCAGGAAATTGTAGATCCATCTGCCTATTTTCCCAGTAATTCCTTTTGAACGCACTTTGTGTGCATTAACACCATGGTCACATTTGTCGAAGGCTTTTGCAAAATCTGTGTAAGTTACATCAGCGTTTTGTCTTCAATGGCATCTACTGCCATGTCATAGTGGTTCAGCAACTCTGATAGGCAAGAGCACCTTGTTCTGAAACCATGTTGTCTGGGATTATGGAGATGCTGTGATTACATGTATTTTGTGATCTTGCTTCTTGGCGCGCACTCGAAGATTTTTATGATGTGTGATGTTAGTGCTATTGGTCTATAATTTTTTGCCTCTGCTTTATTTCCTCCTTTATGGAGTGGTACTATCTCTGCTGTTTTTAGTATGTCAGAAATAATGCCAGTATCTAGGCTTTGTCTCCAAAGAATGTGAAGGGCCTGCAATAGTTTTTTTTTTACAGTTCTTGATGATTATAGAGTTCCAAGAATCAGGCCTGGTGCAGTGTGCATAGGCATACTGTCTATGGCTTATACAAAATTCAGTGGGAATAGGGTGACATCTGATATGATTTGATGTTGGTATCATATCCATGAAAAATTCATTTGGGTTATCAATCTTTAGTGCGTTTAGTGGCTCACTGAAAATGGAGTCGTACTGTTTCCTCAGTATTTCTCTCATTTCTTTGTTATCTGTGAAAGTTCCATCTCCCTTTCGCAGGGGCCCGATACTATCTTCTTGAGATTATCTTATGATGATTTCGGGGCTTTAGTGTCCCTGCGGCCCGGTCCTTGACCAGGCCTCCACCCCCAGGAAGCAGCCCGTGACAGCTGACTAACACCCAGGTACCTATTTTACTGCTAGGTAGCAGGGGCATAGGGTGAAAGAAACTCTGCCCGTTGTTTCTCCCCGGCGCCTGGAATCGAACCCAGGACCACAGGATCACAAGCCCAGCGTGCTGTCCGCTCGGCCGACCGGCTCCCCCGGTCGGGGAGCAAGGACCTACTACCTTGAGGTGCTTCCAGGGCTTAGTGTTCCCGCAGCCCGGTCGTTGACCAGGCCTCCTGGTTGCTGGACTGGTCAACCAGGTTGTTGGACGCAGCTGCTCGCAGCCTGACGTACGAATCAGTTTGGTTGATCAGGTATCCCTTGGAGGTATTTATCCAGTTCTCTCTTGAACACTGTGAGGGGTCGGCCAGTTATGGCCCTTATGTGTAGTGGAAGCGTGTTGAACAGTCTCGGGCCTCTGATGTTGGTAGTTCTCTCCGAGTACCTGTTGCACATTTGCTTTTCAACGGGGGTACAGTATTCTGCACATCCTGCCATGCCTCCTGGTCTCATGTGATATTATTTGTGTGTGCAGGTTTGGAACCAGCCCCTCTACTATTTTCCACGTGTAAATGGTTATGAATCTCTCCCGCCTGCACTCAAGGGAATACAGATTTAGGTTCTTTAGTCGGTCCCAGTAGTTTGGATGTTTTACTGAGTGGATTCTAGCAGTAAAGGATCTCTGCACGCTCTCCAGGTCAGCAATTTCTCCAGCTTTGAAAGGGGCTGTCATTGTGCAGCAGTACTCCACTCGAGAGCACTAGCGTTTTGAAACTAGATGTGTTGAACTAGACACCGAACTAGATATGGTTTTTTATTTTGATTTTGCATAGGAGAATTTTTTTTCTTATTTTTGTCTTATTTCACTGATGGCCTTTTGCTCTCTTTGCCTCTCCTGGGTTTTATATGATTCTTGTAGCTTTAGTCGAGTTGTTTCTATTTCTTTACCTAACCACCATCGCCGTTCTTGAGATAGGGTGTGACTCTCAAGTTGTTCTGCGATTCGTTTTCTTCACCTAAAGAGGGAACGACGTTCCTGTTCCAATCTGCATCTCTTCCTCTTTTTCTTAGTGGTATGCGGTTTGAGCGTGTTGCTAGTGGTACTGAGCTTATTTTTTCCAGGCACTGGTTTGCATTTTCTAGCTGTTCTTCCCAGCTTATTTCTGTAAAACTGGGAGCAAATACACACAGAATAATGTTTATTATTGAAGTTGAATTTGCTGAAATCTTCTCGACCGGGAATTGGAACTGGTTTTGAAGGTCTACTCCCCATGGTTGTCAACTTGTGATCTGATCTGAGTAACAGGTATTTGTAATCATCATGTTCCTGATCAATTCATTATTATTAGTGAAAATGAGGTCTAGTGTTTTCTCCCTCCTAGTTGGTTCTGCTATTTTCTGGTTTAAGGCAAACCTGTCGCACATCTGTAGTAGGTCAATTGCATGTGCCTGTTAGTTTAGGCTACTTCATGGAATTCTGTCGATACAACTGTATCAGTTGTGGTCTTCCATTTCAGGTGCCACAGGATTATGTTTGGGGCTGGATTTGTGAGGTTTTCTAAGCAATGTTCTATTTTCACTAGTTGGTCTTTAAACTGCTGATGATTTGCCTCCGGTGACTTGTATACAAGGACAATAACTACATTTAAGATCTCTATTTTGATCATTAGCACTTTCACCATATCATTTGTAGTGTTTAGCAGCTCGGTACAGATGAGTGTGTGTCCTTGATGTAGAGACTGATCCCAACCTGTAGCCGGTGTTTCCTGTCAAATCTGAAAAGATTGTACTCCGAGATCCATATTTCATCATAATGGTAGTCCTAGGTGTGCGTTTCCATTATGGCTGCAAACACTGCATTTGCTTCATGTAAGAGGCCATTTATGAAGTGCACTTTGTTTTATTTGCATGTTTTTATATCCTGAATGTTTGCAAATAAAAATGTTATGTTTGTGGAAGTGCTGGATGCTTTACTTGTTAATATCTCAGGCTCTGGTAAGGAGGCCACTATGTTTGTGTCCTCTCTAGCATTTGATAGAGTTGGTGGTAGAGTCTGGACATTATAGCCATTCTTCTCCTCCTGGTAAATAGTTGTGGCTGCTTTCATCGAGGTGGTTTGTTTGCCTAGAGGTGGTAAAGCAGAGTCGGGTCACTTTTAAGTAGGTTAGAGCATTTACATTCTGTATGTACTGTGAAAAGGAAGTGTGAACGGCATCAAAGCCAGGACTAAGGTTCATGTTGGGCATGTGTATCGCAGAGCTGATTTGGCGAGACAGCATTTGTGAAGAGTAGAGGCAGGAAAGATTGTTTTAGACCAATCTGTGAGATGGATAGTCCCTAACATGACACGAGAGCATTGTTTGTCTGCAGACTTATCTTGTGTTCCTCAAGTCTCATTTAGTGTATTGCCAAAGTATTGGAGAGGACAAGACGACCAGAAAATAGAGTAGACACTAGCAGCATTGGAAGCAGGAGCAGCTGTGTGAACCAGATTATTACAAAGTGTCAAAAAGCGAGGTTTACATCAGGAGGACAAAGGGCATTGGTGAGAATTTTAGTTCAGCTATGAAGGGAAGGCACAGCAGTGTTAAGTGCTGGAAACAGGTTTGCGATATAAGAAATATCTTTTGTCTTCAGAATGGACACGTTTAATAAAATGTAAGGGGTAACCAAGGCAAGAGAGAGAGAGAGAGAGTTGTAAATTTATAAATCTTGAAACGGAGGGCTATTGATGTGTGGGTCCTGGAGGAAGAGAGGCAAGAACACTTTTCCTAACAGAAGGTGGTTGGTTGGAAAAGTGAATGTACATAACACTGTGCATAGGCTTGCAGTAAACAGAAACCAGAGCTGTGAAGATTAACATCTAGGAAAGAAAGGGTGGAAGAAATTAATTCCCATTGAATTTTAAAATTTTGAAGAAGCCAGATTGTTAAGAGGAGAGGAAAGCCTGGCAAAGACTAGTAATATTAGGCCATAGAGCAAAAATGTCAGACATAGCGAAGTCAGCAAGAGGAACGAGTGTCAATAGTGGAAAGACCAGTTTCAAAGTACTCCATATAGAGAATGGCAAGAACAGGGGAGAGGGAAACCCATAGCAACACTCAAGTTTGAGAGGTGTATTTTCCGTTGAAAAAGGAGCTTGTCAACAGTCAGATGAGCTCAAGGAAAATAAAGTTGTTTTAAGGTAATCCAAAGGGATAAAAACCAGAGGAGCATGTATATGGAAGTCAGAGCAAAATATCAGCATTTTGGAGGTGGTAGTTCACATGATCTTGGACAACCCCCAAATTTTCTTTGTGTGAAGGGGGATAACAAGTTACTTTCAGGGAGGCAAGGGCAGACTAAAAGTGAAGAGGAAGGTGATGATAAATTCTAGAAAACAAGCTGTCAAAGGGAGGGATTAAAGCCTCCCAGAAGAAAGGTGGTCTGAAAGAATACGTTAAAATTTTGAGACCGATCAAAGAAAGTAATAAGATCAGTGCCACAGTGGGGACCAGGCAAAGTAGTTACTGTTGGTGCTTACAGAGGGGAAGAAAGGTTAATACAGTAATAGAATTTTGCCCAATGGTTGTTGGAAATCAGATTTTGACTCTTACCTTTCACAGTACATGTGCATACCTATTTTCTGTGTTGATATATGTGCCCTTCATGCATACTGAGCTTAGAATATACATGTGGCCATCAATTTGCTCATCTTAGACCACAATTTGATGGTATATGGGTAAGTTCTTAAGAAGTTTCAAAAGTACTAGAATGGAGAATTGACTACTAATGTCTACCACAAATAAAGTTTAGCTCCATTGCCCAGAGTATTTTTCCTTCATATTTGAGATGTTGGCTTGGCACTTGATTCTCCTACAAAATCTGCTCGGCTCATACTTATTTTATTCCCTAGTGCATAAGAAAAGTAGAGAGTTGGCCAAGGTTTGTGGACAATCATTGTTGTATTGAGCAATAAGTGTAAGAAATTTCTAAATAATTTGTCCTATGTATTCAGATCAGGTACGCACTGGTGTTTATCGTCAGCTGTTCCATCCTGAACAAATGATCACTGGCAAGGAAGATGCTGCTAACAATTATGCTCGTGGACACTACACTATTGGCAAGGAGTATGTTGATCTTGTACTTGACAGACTACGCAAACTGGCTGATCAGTGTTCAGGTCTTCAGGTGAGCATTAATTATTCAAGTAGTAGTTTCATGGATGATGATTTCCCACTTACAAAAAACTAGTAAGAATTGCCAAGTGTAGAAGAATATTGACAATGTTACTGAAAACAATTTTTTCATCAGGGAAGGAAACTAATTATCATTAGAATATTAAATTATCGTATACTCGGGTAATTGTCAAATATTTTGGACAAACGCCTATTCATAAAGTTGCTCGTTGAATATACTGTATTGGTAATTCAAAAGTTTGAAATACATGCTCAGCTTTTCGCAAAAGTTTAGCAGTCTTCAGCATGATACATCGTTAAAAAAAATTATTCATTAATATTAACTCTCAGACAGCGGATAGGGAGAAATGGTTATACCCGCCCATTAAAAAAATGGCATATTGTATGATGCAAATATGTCCATATTTGCATCATACATGTAAAGGCCAGACAATTGTTTAATTCATATGATGATGACTGCATTCCCCTAGTAACATTCTTGATAACTGCATTTGTACCATGAAATGGGAGCAGGTTTTTTCATGGGGCAGTAAACTCCATTACATCTACATAGACCTATTATCTGGATTATACCTGGATGGGGTTTTGAAGTTTTACTCCCCAACCACAGCCCAGTTGTCTGGCACTTTGAAGAAAACCATCTAGTTTTCTCTTAAAGATGTCCACGGTTGTTCCGGCAATATTTTGTATGCTCGCTGGTAGTATGTTGAACATGTGTGGACCTCTGATGTTTATATCCATATTTGCATCATACATGTAAAACCCAGACAATAATTGTTTAACTCTTCATATGATAACTGCATTGCCCTGGGAATCAACAATTGATAACCACTGTACAAGGGTTAAAAGCCAATATTTATATATGAAATTGTACAGTACAGTATTGTAGTAGAAAATATATAGGTGCCAAATATAGGAAGTTCCATGAGCAGAGAGGCAAGAGGCAGTGGTGATGGCAGTGTTCAGTTGGGTGGCTACTTCACACCATTACAAATAATACACAGTAATAACAAAACCTTCCTTACACATTTCATTATTGCAGAATAAAAAGGTAGGAAATAAACAGTTGTAGGTAACTGCCATACACCAGTCCCTTTCTACCTTCCCAAACACCAAACAATAGAGACTTCCACCTACCCTCCTACTAGCAGCCAGCTTTTGGTATGCTAATCATTCTCCTATATCCAGTGTGTGGCTTCCCTTTTCTGGTGCCCCCACACCCTCCAAAATGGATGTGCCTGAACACATTGGCATGAAGCATCTGAAAAAATATTTTGGCAATGGGTGGTATTAAATCCACTTCTCTAGACTTGCCAGGAATACACACAGGTCATGGGTTTCAATTGGTGTCTTGCAAACTCCAGGTAAATCTATTAGAATTTTCGGTTGAGATAGTTTTCAACCCATCAATGTCCTTTAGGTACTGTATTACATATGTTTTTGGAAAGTCTGGAGATGTGGATTATATCCCACCTATTGCTATATTATATCCCACCCATGCAATTAACAATTATTTCTGGGGGAGCCCCATCGGCTCCCCGGAGCTATCCAGGCTGAATGGATATGTATAACTTTCTGGCATCAGTCAAAGTGCTAGGAGTTCTTGCCTACCGGGGACCACGAGCCAGAACCTGGCCCCCTCAGAGAGGCACGAGGAGCAATGGCCTATAGAAACCCCCTTGTGATTGGGAGCATTCTATGTCTGCCATCGACTGGGACAGGCACCCAGAAAGGTAGGCGCCCCAAAACAAACCCCTATTCTGCTGAAATTATTGCTACTGAAAGCCGAACGAGTGGACAACTCCCCAAACAAAATTATCAAACTAGCATGACGTCATCACGTCGCCGCACCACCGTCTGCGCAACCCCCCCCCCCCCTCCCCGAGAGGGGGAAGGGGGCGCCCTAGACCCTCCATGCCGGCGATCCAACTGGCAGCTCTTGGCTGATGCTATTACTGGCTGGTCGAGTGCCTCTGGCTCCGGTTTTTTTTTCAGTTCTGTGCCTTGTGGTATGGACTGTCTCTACTGGTGGGGTGTGAGCCAGGAGTAAGATTCCACAGTACTCGGGCTGCATGTGCCTAGGGCTATCTTCCCTAGGTGCCCTGTAAGTACTGCCCTTGGGGCTTTGGGCCACCTTCCACAAGTCACCTTGGGTTCTACCTCCGCTGTGTCCTTTACTGCTCGGTACTGGGCCGCCCTTGGAGTCGGCTGGGGTTTTGTTGCCCTGGTTTGTCTCTGGGTAGGTGGTAGGTTTCGTCACTGGCAGGGGTGCGGGGTACTGCACAGCTAGTTTTCACCATTAACAGCGGCTGGCTCTGTTCCGCCTGGGTACATTGTCCTCTTGCAGGGTTTTTCTTTTGTTTTTGTTTTTGCCTGGTGGGGGGTCTGCGTTTACTATTGTCCCCCTTTCCTGTTCTAGGTGAATTTCTTTCGAATTCTTCTGTTGGCGGTACTCCCTGCTTGGACCCAGTGAGTGGACACGTCCCAAGGGTTCAGCTTTAGCAGTTTGTTGGTAGATTTGGGCGCCGGTTCGCGGTACCCTGCCTGGGCTTCCCTTAGCGTGTACCAAAGGCTAAGGGCCCTGGGAAACCCCACGGGGGCTCCGTGGTCCTCTAGGTGTGTCCCCGGAGTCCCCCTCGCGTCCTGCGAGTTTGACGGTTGATCTGTCCCCTTGTCTCGGGGTGACTCACCGGTTGTGCCTCCACCATGCTGCCTGTTGGGTCCTTGTTTTTGTGACCCGGAGTCGTCCGATGATTGTTGTCGGTACGCGCTCTCCTTCACCCAGGCCACTGGTCTTGATAATCGGGTGCAGGCGGCTGCGGCGTTGTTTGCTGGGTGTGTGTTGCTGCAACACTCTTGATTTGCGGCCCCGGATGCCCCGAGGCTGCCCCGTTTTGGTGGATGGGGTCTGGACTTGGGGGTGGGGGTCGCTTCGGCTCTGGCTCCTTCCGCTTCTTGTTCCTCCCCTTCTGTTCTACTCACTTCCTCCCTTGCTTCTTTCTCCGAACCATAGGAGGGTTTTGGGGTTAGGGCGGGGTCTGGTTGGGTTGAGATTCGGGCGGTCTCGGGGGTTTTCCTCTTCCGGGGTGGCGGCGCAGGCATTAGTCGGTTCCTCCTGCTGTGCAGTATGGGTCTGACCAGTGGGCTCCCTTCATTAGTGTTTGCACAGCTGCCCCGGCTTTTCCTTGTTAAGCTCGGGCTTTGGGGGTGCGGCTCGGCCCTGGGTCATGCCGTAGAGGTTCCCGGGGTTAGAGAAGGGTTACCTGGGGGCCTCGGCCCCGTTTGCCCCTCTTGGGTCCTTGTACCTTTGGTGTGGGGCTGGCAGTTCCTCAGTGGGGTTGTTCCTTCCCTCTGTGTTCCTGTTGTTTTCGGGTATACCCCTCCCTGGGTTCGGTTCCGTCTTCCTTCGGGTTCGTCGGTCCCGTCGTTCCTGGGGTGTGTTTCACCCCCTTTTCCTTACCTTTTTCGCTCCTATGTCGCGATGCTGTTCAAAAAAAAAAAAAGTGTTCAGGTAAGGTACATCCATACAAGGTGTGAAACAAACATTGATGGATTTCTATATTGACCTAGTACATAGTGCCTACACCTCTTCGTATCGTTGGCCCTGCATGTTCCTTGGTCAGAGGTGCTTGTCATGGTTCTCGTTGGTTCGCGAGTCTCTTCATACCTTCCAATATTATAGGAACGTCTGTTGATTTTCGATGTGGTTTCCATCGGGTCTTTTTTCGGCCTTGTTGGTTCCCTTCCATCATCTGTTTTCTTTCGCTTCGTTTTCGCGTCATCTCTACTTCCAGTTTCGGCATCTTTTGTCCTCGTTCCGCACGCCTTCCTGGTGTTTGTACGATGTCTGTACGTTGTGTGTACGATTTGTGTGTCCGCCTGGTGTACGAGCCCTGCCTCCCGGTGGACGGGTGGTGCGTTTCGTACCTCGTGTGCTGGGGCCGCGGTATGCGTTTTGTTTACGGGCGGTATGCTCGTGTGTTCGCGCCGTTTCTCGTGGTTTTCTACGGCTTCTTGCTCGTTTCTCCCTCTAGTCGTGGCCCTCTGGATGCTGAAGGTGTTTTGGATTTATATCTGGGGGGTGTCACTTTGTTCTTTGTCTTCTGCAGGGCGCGAACCTCTGGCCGTCTTTCTCCTTCGACCTCGCATTTTATTCAGGTAAGGGTACATCCTGTGCCTACTGCCTCGAGTATGCATGGTTTTCGGGCACACCTTTAGCGCTGCTCCTAGTATGTTCCTTGGCTCGCCTGTGTTGTGGCACAGTCGTGTGTCTGCTCTGCAGGTGAAGTTGCCTTGTCTGGCGCTTCTGTCGGCCTAGTACTGGTTCTCACTTTTGGTGGGGGTTGAGCTCTGGCTCTTGGCCCCCGCCTCTCCTGTCAGTTGGCGGTTGCGCAGTTTCCTGAGCCTTCTGGGCTTTGTCTTCTTGTTTGCTCCTGTGGGTGGCGTCTGCCTCCTCCACGTGGCATTTTGGTGCTTTTGGCTTCCTTTCCCTCTGCCATTAATCGGGTTCTTTTTAGTGTCTGTGGCTCCTTTGGGTGCTCACTACCTCCTGTGTTCCCTTGTGCGTACCTGCATACGGACATAAGTACAGTGGCCCTGCGGAGGGCCTCTTGGCCCGTGCGAGGCAGCTACTAAATTAAATTAAATTTTGCCCCGAGGGGCAAGTTTATTGGGCAGCGCCACTCATCTTGAGTGGACACACCGCCATAGCAGCATGTACAACACTCCCCAATAGGAAGAAATCCCACTGGGTTGTTCATCCTGTCACTTGTACCCAAACACAGCTGGGACTTGCTTAATTGTCTCAAGTGAACAGCTACTCAAACAAGAAGATTAACATCCATTCCCACTCACTTACATGTCCAACCCGCCCTTGCACCAATAGTGGGGCCCCACCACCACGTTACATGGTAATTGGTTCCGCACATCACCGGGCCTGTTACCGTGCCGGTCATTCCTCCGGTCTTTCCTAATTCTGAGCTTATCCCTTTTATGGCCATTGTTTCGTGCCCACAATGTGCCGCTCGGGTGGCGTGTGCCACTATCCCAGTTTCTATTGTTTCGTGGAGATTGGTCGATAAACACAAACACTAAGGAACTACTTATCTTTTGTTGCATATACAGTAGTTGTGGGTGATCGTTGGCGGGCAATGGTGCGGGTTGGGTGCACAGAGTGTCGGTACGGTGTCTCGCATGTCTGTTCTAAACCACACTTGCCGGTAGACTAGTTATTATTCGCTACTCTGCTGGTTATATGCTTGGGCGCCGCTTCAGTTCCCCACTGAAGTGGCAGGACTTTTTGTTGGACGTACGGAACGGTTTGAGTTCCGTCGCTGGTACTTTGTAGAGCTTTGCTTCTCTAGTTAGGCTCATGCGTTTGGAGCAAGTATCTTCTTGGGATACTCTACTCCCTCCGCCACCCTTGTTAACTGTTCCATCCTTGTTTTCTCTTCCCCGCTTGGCGGGATTGCGTCGATGGCTCCTGACTGTGGTGTTTGGTCACCTTGCATGTGTCTTTAGTGCCTTTTGTCCTTCTTTTGTTCTTTGTTGTCCTGTGGGGCTCTGCCCCGCATTTTGGTGCTTTTGTTTTCGTTGTAGACCCCGGGGTCTTTTCCCTGTCTGGACACTTTCCTTGCCTATCTTCAGTGCCTGACTGCACCCTCACATAGCCGAGGGAGAAATCATCTCGAGAACCTCAAGATAACCCTTCTGTCAGTATTTCCCTCAGGTATGTACGCGCTCCTCTACACATTTTGTGGTTGGTCGTGTGCCTTACTTCCCGGTCGCTCCTTGGGCCGTATTCGTGGTTTTCCTTAGCCAATTCAGTTTTTCCTCCCCCATGCTACACTTTTTGTGTATCCGAGTCAGTGCTTCTTGATTATACTGCTTGGTGCTCCGGTGGACCTCTGTCCATGTTCCACGTCCTGCTTTTGGACTTTTCCGGTGTTCCGTTTTGGTACCGAGTTCCTGCGATTTTTGTGTGGTTTTCTGCAGGCTTCGGGTTGCGCTGTCTGTGGGTGGGGGTGTGGACTTTTGGGTCTCCCGCTCCTGCCTTCCTGGTTCCTTTTCTTGGAACCGGGTTTGCTGGGTTCCGGTCCTGGTTTCGGTTTTTCTTTGTTCCGTTTCCGGACCGGGGGTGTGTGTGTGTTTTCCTGCGGTTCTCGTCCTCGGTAGTTCTCCTCTTGGATGCCTCGGGGATGCGTGTATCATTTTTCCTTGCTGGAGCTGGTTCTGTTGCTCCTTTGGGTTGCGGGGTCGCTGTTTTTAGATTCGCGTTTTGCGCTTTCGATCGTGGTGTTCGTTTCTTGTCGTTTCTGTCGGCACAGGTGGGTTCGTTATTGGTCTCCCACCTGCATGTTTCGTCTCGGGGGCGGTGTTTGGTTTTCCTATCGCTGCGAAGGGTCCTTCGGTCTTTGATAGGGTTGGTTTGTCTTCCCTTCGGGGTTGTTCTGGGACCGTTGTCTGGGATTGTCCCGTCACCTCATGTTGGGTGGTGCTGGCAGAGCCGCTCCTGCTTACGTTCAGTGTTGCGGTTCCTTCTGCTCCATTCCACTTGCTGTCCTGGGCATCGTTCCCCTCTGGCCTGCTCTTGAGTTTTGGGGCCGTCCTGGTCGTTGGCCTGGGTGGTCTTTTTCTTCTCGTTTTGGTCTTTGTTTTGTCTCTGGTTTTGGTTGTTCAGTTAGGACGTGTGGTATCCGCCTCCCGGTTCCTTCCCTGTTTTACTTATCTTTTGGTAAGGTAGCTCCGGGGAGCCGACGGGGCTCCCCCCAGAAAACCAGCGTTGAATGTAATGAAACGCCATTGTCTGGGTGAGTCCCGGAGGCTCCCCGGCATCCCTCCCTCCCTCCGGTCGGCGGCGTTTTCGCGTCTTTTGACATCCAGCCAAAGAACTGCCAGTTGGATCGCCGGCATGGAGGGTCTGGGGCTCCCCCTTCCCCCTCTCGGGGAGGGGGGGGGTTGCGCAGACGTTGGCGCGGTGACGTGAAGACGTCATGCTAGTTTGATAATTTTGTTTGGGGAGTTCTGTCCACTCGTTCGGCTTTCGGTAGCAATAATTTCAGCAGAATAGGGGTTTGTTTTGGGGCGCCTACCTTTCTGGGTGCCTGTCCCGGTCGATGGCAGACATAGAATGCTCCCAATCACAAGGAGGTTTCTATAGGCTATTGCTCCTCGTGCCTCTCTGAGGGGGCCAGGTTCTGGCTCGTGGTCCCCGGTAGGCAAGAACTCCTAGCACTTTGACTGATGCCAGAAAGTTATACATATCCATTCAGCCTGGATAGCTCCGGGGAGCCTCTGGGGCTCACCCTGAAAATGGCGTTTCATTACATTCAACGCTGATTTTTTGTCATTGTTACTCTGGTGCATGTAACTAGTAGTTGGGTGGCTGCTAGTGAGATTGAATTAGGTTGCTGTTGTGTATATATGCAGACATCATTTACTGAGAAACCATGAACTTCACTTATGTGCATCCTAGAAAATTACCCGGATTGGATGTGCAAATGATACTGCAGAAATTCATGTAAAGGGAATTGCTATATATCTATTGTAATTCCTGCAGTAGTCACAGTAGCTAAATATGTACAAGTAAACTATAGTACTAGTACAGTACCAGATTTTTAAATGGATGCCTTCAAATTAGGCTACTTTAAATGCTGTTTTACATTGATTACGTTATTTGGCATCAGCATCGTGAAAATTTCATCCCAATACGTGTGTTAAGAAGTGGATTTTATACAAATTAATAAAAAAATAAACACAAACTGAACAACGATGCTCTAATACTTCACCTGATGGGATGCTCAGTCTGATCATAATTAGCCTCCATATCACCTGAAGATGTGCAGCCTAAGGGTTGATCAAAGTAGACAATACAATATTAAATTGTAGGTGAATATTACATTAAATTTCTTTAGATGTTTATTCCACATGTTACCAAGATTGTACAATAATTACCTTAAAGCTGTGAACCTAGACCATGTGGAATTTATGGTTACAATTTAAATTGTTCAGACCCTTAAACAAGGGTCAACCTTGTCTAAGTACTTCATATAAATTTATTTTTACCCTGAAGTCACGAGTCATCCGATACACGATTGTTGTATGCTGTAATTGTAGTTTTCAAAATGTATGAAATAACCTATAAAATAGAATTTCACTAAATTTTCTAAAATTTCAGGGCTTCCTAATATTCCGGTCATTTGGTGGAGGTACTGGCTCGGGCTTTGCCTCCCTTCTGATGGAACGATTGTCGGTGGAATATGGGAAGAAAAGTAAGCTGGAGATTGCCGTATATCCTGCTCCTCAGGTGAGACCATAAACACTAGTTACTTTTATTGGTTCCTGTGCTATTAACATTACAATTTAATGGCATAGTTTGTTTGAATACTGTATTGAATTAGCTTTCTATGGCTAGTACAGTGTTAAAAATTATGTACATTTCAATATAAACATTATAGTATATATTTACAAAATTGTATCAGTGTACTGATATACCATATCTACATGTATATACTTTACTATATACACACATGCACACATCTATGTAATATGGGCAATAATGTACTGTAGTTTAGAAAATTCTCTTAATTTGTAAAATTAATACAAAAAAATAGAATTAAGTAATTAAAAAAGATGTAAAAGGATATTTATATTAAATTGACCCGTTTATAGACCAAAGCTTTACTTATTTATATTATTGCCAAATTTGAAACTGTTCTTTGTTGGAGACTGACAGTACACAAGAAATTTATCATAAAAGGCAGCTTGCAGACTAGCAAAGTTGCGTTGGTAATTTGGTTTAATTGATGAAATTGTTGTTCAGTAATACATTTGGGTACATTGTTCCTTGGATTATTACTTGGTGTGCAAGTTTGGCTCAGTTTAGAAACTGTCCACTGCATAAATCAAAATTGTACTGTCTGGTCATCATAAAGAACATCTATTTTCTTCCAAAATAGAATTGGGTTTCATATTACATTTGAATAATTGTCACTGCATAATTAAATTTTGTTTTTCCTTAGCAGATTCAAGGAAACTTGTAAGGTTTGTTTTAAATTTAATTCTTTTAATTTTCACTTTGTTGCACATGACCCATGTATTTACAATTGTCTAATCTGCTTTTTCTATACTGGAGAACACGTTTGCTCAAACTTTTAAAATGATCTCTCCACTATATTAACTGTAATTTATTAGTGTCATTTTTTATTAGTGTACCACCATTTCTATGCATGCTTGATTATCACCAATAACAGGAAATTATTATTACTATATCTTATAAAAATGGTACTCTAGTACATCTCTGTAAATTTCTAGATTTTGTATCCCATTATTTTAAGCAAGTAAGAATGTGTATTACTTTTGTATATACCCCTTTCAGATGCCCACAGGAAATAGCAGAGGGGAACAGGCAAACTTCGTACTGTTTCCTGGGTCAGGGGAAGTTTCTGACTTGTAATGCAAGATTTGGAGGCACTTTACTTTTTGCTAATAGTGTGACAGGCTGATAACTTGTCCATCAATGTAGTTAAAGGAAAAATGCAGTATCCCTCTGGTAATAGCAGTGTACCTGTCTGCCTATGGAGCTCAGTCTGGCTGTGTGTATTGAAAAGTTCAAATTAATTTTAGACAGGTGAGAGTTTTCACTGCTCTTCGACAAGAAGTTAGCTAGGCATGTACATGATAATACCTGTGTTTACGTGTGTGATGGTGTGATTGGTCTTGGTTGTTTGCCAAGAGTAGTAGTTGAGGCATGAATTTCATAAGTTTATGATAAATATGAACTCTTGAATACTAGCTAGCTTGACAGTTTAATTTTGTTAGGGTTGTGTATATCCTATGTATTTAGAGAAATATTTTCTTATTAAATTTACCTTCTTTAAACATGAATGATGTGAGACTTGGAGTGAATGACTTCATATTTAAAATGTTAGACAACTTTTTCCATATTCTGTATAGTTTCTCTAGAAGGTCGGTAATGAGATAAATTTCCCACTCGGTATATAAACGTTAGTAAAGGGAAAGAAATTGGTGCATTAAAAGTAAATACATTGAACTCTAGAGGAAGGTAAACTAAGTTTAGAAAGATAAGTAAATTTATACTGGATTCATGAAAGAATGCTTACTAGAGAAAACTGCAGATTGAAACCAAAATTTCTATTTCTATTAGTGATAAGCTAGAAGATTTTAGTAATATAGGTATTAAAAGCATGAAGAACATGGCTGTGTGTGTAAGGAAAGATAGTTATGAAGATCATGAAAGCTGTTAGGCTCATAGCACGTGGTATGAGTGGATTAGATTAGTATTCATCTGATGGCTTTCATGGAGGGAGGTAAATAATAACTTGAGGTACCTTTCCTTCCCATCCTCTTTAATCTGACTTTTATCCTCCTAGGTACAATATATATATCTTAACTTGGAACGATCTCGGGCTGTCCCACAGTCTTCCTACTTTAAGGTTAAGCAGCATTTCTTTTTCCAGATTTGAAAGATTATTTTAGAGCTTGAGGTTCTCTTGTGTTGTTTTATACATATTGAAGTTCTCATGGGTTTAAACTTTGATTTCACTTGTTCTTAAACTTCATTGAGGTTAGGTGTGTATGCTTTATTTAAAGTTGTCATAGTCTTCATTCTCTTGTTTGTGGCAATTAGTTTATGGTGGTTACTTTGCACTGAATGTTGCCACAAGTGAGGGTATTGAAGAGGGAAAATAAGTGCTGGACAATCATTATTTTCTAGCAATCAAAGGTGAACTTAATGCTAACATTTAATGTGCTATTTTGCTTAAGTCTTTTTAGCAAATTGTGTGTGCTATAACTTGTGTCATTCACACATTGTAAGGCACTTTCTAAAAGGGCTTTTGTTTAATTATTGTGTCTCAGACTAAGTTACAAATTATTAGAACTGGCATGGCCTTGCCATTTTTCTTGGTTTAAGATACATGTAAACTTTTTTCATCAGTTACATAATAATTTGTCTTGTGTGCTAGTGTTTTTTCATATCTAGTTCAGTACAGGCATATTACAGTAGACAATTCATTGTGCTGAGTGTCCATGAGGTGTACTGTGGTGCCAGATATCATCAGTACTGACAATAAATCAAATAATGTGGTGGTTGCAGTTAACATTGTGGTCAAACGTGTGATTTTCAATTTAGTAAATTTTCTAAGGATGCACCCCCTCCCTTTCTGATCCGTTGTCATCATGAGGGGGCTTGGTGGGCAGCTGCTGGAGTGTAATGCTCCATGGGTCAGTCCTCTGTCCTTTTGAAGCCTTCTGCTGCTGCCTTCAATTTTGCCAGACATCTTTTCCTTTTCCTTGCTTTTCATTTTTCTGCCCGCCTCTTCTCCTTTTTAATTGTCATTTCCTGCCAACCTTTTGCCAGTCTTGATTATTCTTTCGAACTACTTCTGTTTTGACGCGCAGGTCTTTGGGGAGGCATACTCTTTCACCCATAGAACTGTGGTACCCAATGTCGCGAGGGAGGGGGACGCTTTTATTGTCAATCCTTCTTTCGCCACTGAACCCGACCTCGAGTGACTGACGGTTCTTAACCCTTAAGCTGCTCAACATGTCATAAGACTTGTTGAATAGCTTACCCAAAATTGCGCAACACATCATATGACGTGTTGGTGTACAACGCAAGATTTAAACAGCCTGCGGATACACGGGGTTCAACACATCTTCATCAGGGCTCTTGTGAACAGATGCCGCCGCCACCCCCCGCCATTTCAGACTGGGGGTGGGGTTCTCGACGCCATCCCCTGCCACGACCAGACTCGCATAATCCCATACTAATATGTACAACGCCTTGTTTGGTCCTGCTTCATGGGCTAAATACTTTGATCTCCATCTGGATTCTACACCTGATTTCTCCCGCCATAAACACCTTGTTGATTTGGTAGATGCCTCTGTTACTTTTAACTCCACCCGTTGCGGTACGTGTCATCACTGCTGGTTCTTGGGATACAACTGCCTGCTTAGCCGCATTGTCCTGCATTGGGGAGGCTCCTGTTCGGGTCTCAAAAATCGATCGGTTAAATGCTAATGTGTGTGTGGAAACATTGGCACACTGTGCCAATGTTTCCTAATGCGTCATGTTGCAACTGGTGTTAGGGACCCAAGACTGCCATGAGGATATTAAACATATCCTCGAAGCCCAAAGCCACACTGTCCTCCAGGTGGACATATCCACCCGACCCCCCTTGTGGTCGACGTCATGAGCCCCCCTTCGAGTTGTGAAAATCGCCTTAGATAGTAGGACCCTTCCGCCCACTATCATTCTTGCTGGTGCCAGGTGCTCCGTTCAGGAGTACATCCCTTCTCCTAGACTATGTAATAAGTGCTGGAAGTTTGGGCACGATGCCCTCAAAAGCTCAAGTCTTGTCTCTGCCCTATGTGTAGGGGACGATGATCACTCTTAAGTCGGAGTGCTCTTCTCCCCAGGCTCGCTGCCTCAATTGTGGTGAGGCTCACCCTTCCTTCTCCTGCAAGTATATACACTACAAGCTTGAGGAAGCCATCCTCAACTTGAAACACCAGGATCGTTTGACCTTAACTGAAGCGAGACGCCAAGACCGCCGTCTCCACCCTTTCACTGGCGCATCTTATTCTAGCATGTTGTGTTCTACCTCTCCTCATCCTTCTTACTTTCCTCGGTCACACAACCGTTGTCGGAAAATCCGACACCATTTAATAATCATACAGATAATAACTGTAATTCCAACAAGTTACCCATAGAAAACGTAACTTGTAGTGGAATTACCGTCTATAGAAAACGGGATATCATCACCACATACTATTATAATTCACCAGCTATTCTGCTGGGAATTATTCTTAAATACATTAGTCTTTGGACTTTACCATCATAAAAACATCTTATATAAATTAACTTAATTATTAATATTAAAGTAGAGTAAATGTGACCCTTCTATCACGTTCTGAAATCTGGACAATGTAAGCCAGGCGTCAGAGTGGAGGAAGGGGGGCAGCCATTGTTTATATGAGACCAGAGGCTCACACGGGAGCAAATTCGGCTCCTGTTAAATTTACTTGGACGTAGTGTTATGGAAACTAAAAGTGTACCATTATCAACACGCTGTCTACAAATTCAAGTTAAGTGTCTATCCGAAACCCATTATCTATCATTAGTGGCCATTAATGTCATTGGGTAGGGTTATCCGGTTAGATCACATGGAAGCCTCAAACTAAAGGTAATTAAGCCAGGTCCTCATGTTCCATGTACTGTTTTCTCTGATATACTTGTCATATATAGGATTCTGGCTTCACAGCTAGCGCACTTTTGACAGG